ATAAGGAACTCCTACAAGATGGTATGGTCAACATTCACATGCATTTGCGTGCACGTGTGCTTTGCTCTGATTGGCTGAAACAAAAATCTCAATATCTTTTCTGTTTTTTTACAAAATGCTTTAAAATTTAAAACATAGGGATACTTTAAGATGTCCTACAATATGATACATAATAATTGTGCGTTGCAATCTGATTGGCTTAAACTTTAAATGGCTATAACTCCCTTGTTTTTCAACCAAACAGGATGGGATTAGGAACATAGTGACATAATGGACACCTACAAGAAGGTTTCATCATGCACGTGCGTGCACGTGCAATGAGTAAAAAGTGTAGACAAGATGATATCGTCATTACGCTCACACACATGCGCACGCCTGCATTGCTTAAATTTGAAATACTTGGTATACTTTTGGGAAAACTTTGTTTACGTCTTAAATGCATAGATTTTGCCTTCTTTTATGAAACTTACAGGGAATATGGCACGAGAAGGGAGTTGGGGAGCGTTTGGGGAACATCTGTAACGGTTCCCGTTACAATTAGCACTAGTTGATAATACTTTACAAGTCGTTTTCCGTTCTTTTTTTAGTCTCAGTTTAACAGCACAGTGTCTGGGTGCTCTCTGGAAATTTGTCCTCTTGAAAAAGGTAAATAAAAAATGATTAATATTTTCTTTGAAACATTTGCAAATAAATATCGAGCAAATGGACTCATGATTATTTCATACATGTGAAGGACACCATTGATTTTTTTGGAGACGTTCATTATAGAGATTTAGCATTTATGATACTATATCTTTCCCAAAAATAATGATTCATTGCTATTCTTATACAAGAATATTTTGCCAAGATTTTATTTTCTTCAGAAAAAGTTTGTTTTCATAATTTGATAAAAAATGGGTGACTTAAATGGCTAGAAAAAATGCCGTAAATTTAAGTTTAAAAAAATGTTTATTTTTTCCATCATATGAGCCCACGATATCTTAACCGTGTATTCATGGTACGGATGTGAATTTAAAACGCTTTTTTCGAGGAAATTTAAATAAATATTGAAGGCATGGTGCCAAAAGATTTTTGAATATCAATAGATAATCAGGGTCACGCGTTTTTCATCGTCTGAATACATAGTCAGCACATATTTGTCGGTTGTTCTTAAGAAAACTGTAGTTGGATATTGAACAAAATAAAGTTATACAAAACCGCCTCTGGTCGAAACCGGTCAACCAAATAAATTTACTGCTGCATTCTTACGAAGTGATGGTGATCTGTTTTATATCTTTTAGTTTAAAATAAAGTTATATCAAAAGGAGAAAAGCCGGCAAACGTGTGCTCACACTTAATTTAACAAAAACATGTTCGAAAAAAAACTTCTCGCTTCCATTGATATGTCTTCAATTGACCTGTTTAATATTTCAATTCATCACATGATGTCCACTTGCGAGTGTACTCGTGAAAACAGTTACATTTTATTCTTCAACCTGACCTCGATCTAAATTATGTCTTTGAGCATGGTTTGTTGCCGTTTTCAGAATTTAGCAAAATAAATATTGTTTTAATTTTGCTATTGTCTTCACATTTTTAAAATAATACCATCGCTGTAATATGCTGAACACGTATTCGAATTCCTGGAGGGAGAGAAGGATAACAAGTTCTTTAACACTTGTAGTACCACGTTCCAGAACTGTGACATTTGGAAACCTTACCTTTAGCTATGCTGCACCAAGGTTATGGAACGCACTGCCAGAGTCAGTTAGAAACGCCCAGACACTTAACGCTTTCAAAAGACAGCTTAAAACATACTTTTTTCGTTCCTATTATGTTGAGTAACTGGAGGTATTAACAATCATAAGACATTGGATTGATATTGAGTGGAAAGTGATGCTATAATGTGATATTTACACATCAGCGCATTTATTTATTTTTTTTAAAGTTTTAACTTTCTACTATGTTTTTCATGCAAACTTTTTAACCTAAGTTTTATTACAAACTCATCGAAACTTGTATTAAGCAGCTTTAATCTTATTTTATGTTATATCTGTGCTTAATTAATTCCTAGAGTCTTATTAGCTTTTTATGACTGGTAAATTTTTAATATAAATTTGTATATGTTATTCTTAGTTAGAGTTATTGTTTTAATTTCGATTTCGATTTGTATCACTGTATTGTATTGCTATATCTTGTTTGTTGTATCTTTTCAACATGTCCATGAAAAAAGCGCTATATAAATCTGGTAAAATAAATGAATAAATAAATTATCCTCCTTTCACCAATATCATTTTTATTTGACAAAAAGAATAACTCTACATGATTTATATCGTCAAGTTTTAATTCAAGAAATTTAAACAATTGTACTTTATTTTCATATAATTTGTTGTTTTGATTTCAGTAAAAAATATCAGTCATTCAAATTGGATATCTATAATAGACTTCAGTGCAAAAAAATCATACACACTCTTTAAAAACTGAAAAATACACCATATTTGGTTAAAAATTATAATAAGAAAAAAGAATACAACTAGAGCAAAGCTCGTTGCAAAGCAACGAGTAGGTCTTCCGTCCTGTTTGACCGGAAGTAACTTTCGGCCATTTTGCAAAAATGAGTAATAACGCCCAAAAATGGTTAAATCTTTTAAATCTATGTTAATTAATGCAAAATTAAGCCAGTTTTTGCTACTTCCGGTTTGACCGGAAGTGACGACGACGGACAGAAAATTAATTTTTATGCTCCCAGTGACAGATGTTACCCCAAAAAACTTGTCAAGAACAGCAAAAATACGCGTTTTCTGAATACTTCCGGTATGGCCGGAAGTGACGTCAACGGAGGTATTCTGACGACACCAATAGATTGAACTTGACATTTGAAACAACTTTGCTTTTTTGATGTATTACAAATTCCCAATACTTTTTGAGATATAAAGGAAAATATTTCGGCCCCTCTAGGCCCTTAATTTTAGGGGCCAGTCCTTTCTTCGAGATATCATTTGAAAGATCTTCAAATTCTACACTTGTTTTGTTCTATATATTCTGACAAAATATTTTCAGATAAAACGATATCGTAGAAAAGGTGTAAGAAAATTTGAAAATTGTGATAGGACTATTTTCGGGCCATACCGAGTGCCGATGTGCGGCGTTTCCAGAAAAGGCAAAATGCGAAAAGCATATCTACAAACATATATAGATCTATCGTACCTGAATGTTTTATATTTCTATCTCAACCCATTTTTCAGAAAAACTCTGGAAAACCCGACCCTTTTAAATTTATAAAATCGGTAATATCTCAGACCGGAAGTGACGTCATAAAAATAAACGCATAAGGTTCAAGTGATGATACATAAGTCCTGAAAGTTTAATGAAAATTCACCGCGCCGTTTTCTATAAATCGCGTGCACAAAATCGGTAGGAAAACAACAATAAAAGTGAAAAAGAAACCTAACAATAACAGAAAGGTCTTCCGCTGAAGACGGAAGACCTTAATTATAACCTTTCCTCTCTATTTGACCTAAATCAAGTTTACACAAAAGTACCCTGTTTTTATTTTCTTCTTTCAAAGAGAGTTGTGGAAACTATCTTCCTGGTATTAAATTATTTATTTGATGTTGTAGAAATACCCAATGCATTTATTTCAACGTAATGTCAAGAGGCCTTCAGATTGCAGCTGTATCCTTATTGAGTTGGATTGTTACAGGTAAAAGACATAAAAGCTCACCTTCCGAATGGTTAAAATGTATAATACGGATAAGGGGAGCGGTCATTTACTCTGAAATTTGTTGTCTAAAGAGATTTTAAAAATTAAAGGTACTTTCTGTTCTTTCTGAAACAAACATGAAAACATATTGTCCCTGCCGGATAAAGGAAGAAACATCAGTTGATGAATATGCATCTCTAGAATACCAAGCATAAATTATTTAATTTTAGATGTAACATGTCATTTGATTGGATAAAAGATTTTTTACACCCTCGTAAGCTCTATGATCGAAACATTGACCTTGTCAGCAAATATCATTAAGTTAAATGCTGACTGACGTTTTTCATACCAATTGCAAGTCCATTATTTGTACACTGAATTTACGACGAATTTTTTCCGGTATTTCCTGATCATGGCAAGAAGCACACGGCGGGTGTGACAGGTCGGCAGGGGATGCTTACTCCTCCATGGTACCTGATCCCACCTCTGATGTTTCGGGGATCCGTGTTTGCACTGCTCTTATTTTGTATTGTTTTATGGACTTTGAGCTGAATACTGTTTGTTATCTCCAAACCCTATAGGTTGCATACCTCACAATATGTTAGGTTGAAAACATAATGCCCCCTTTGATGTTACTTTTAAAGCATGCTCAATTTGAAGCCATTTTTTAGAGAAAAAATGTTTTATCGTCTACAATGAAAAGAAAAAAAAAGATTTAAGCTTTTTTTTATCTATGTTATACGTATAACAGAAATTGGGACTACGCTTTTCTTAACCGCTACGAATTGAAAGAGCTTACACTGCCCCAAGTTATGTTATAGCATTGGCGTTGGAAGGAAATTGAAAGGGGGGCTAATGGACATTGGGGGAGGGGGGGGGTAAACCAACATAAAAAGGTAAATCCCAATTTTCAATGCCTGTATACCTGGTAATATCTATTTTTATATCGGTTTGACGCCTATGTATAGTGTATACCGTAGATTAAAATAAGCCATATTCCTTAAATGTTATCATTGACATTTCAGCATATTAACAGATGCCTGCTGATGTTGATTGAAGTTCATGAAAGTTTTCATAATTTGAAAACGTAAAAATTGTGAGGGTGGAAACACCTTTACGAATAATGTATTATCTGTTAGAAGACATATATACCCCTCACATAATTTATATCATTTGACAGTTTTGATCGCCATTGATTGGGAACCTTTGATTGATTGTATACTGTTTAACGTCCCTCTCCAGAATATTTCACCATTGCCGGTGAAGGGCTGCAAATTTAGGCCTATGCTCGGCACTTACGGCCTTTGAGCAGGGAGGGACCTTTATTGTGCCACACCTGCTGTGACACGGGGCCTCGGTTTATACGGTCTCATCCGAAGGACTGCCCCATTTAGTCGCCTTTTACGACAAGCAAGGGGGTACTGAGGACCTATTCAAAAACCGGATCCCCACGGGGCTCGGAACCTTTGAAATGTTTGAAATGTTCCCCTGGGATTTCCGGATCAGGGGTTTTGAAATGCTCCCCGGGATTTGTCAATGTGAGTGGCTGGTGTTTCTCTTTCCACAAAGAACCGACGTCCGGAACCAATCCTCGGTAATACTTTTGTTCTGAATATGCTAGCTGCGGAAATGTAGCTCTCTGAGTAAAAAAAAAATGACGCAAATGGATAGCTGCATGAATCTCTGCTACAACCTTCCGACAGACATAACCTACATCATGCTCTCACATAAACAGAAACTCTATTACATTAACAGTAACTCTATTAAATTAACATGAACTCTATCTCATTAACAGGAATTCTATCATATAAACGGGAAACTCTATAGCATTAGCAGGAACTCTATTACATTAATTGAAACCTTATTACATTAACAGGAACTCCATAAGATTGCTCAGAGGGAATGGGATATTGAGGCTAAGAAGAAAAAGTGTAAGTATTAAGGTTCATAAACCCTCTGCTCACTCATATGAAATTTTTCTTTAACTTTTATGATTCTTTTATTTGATATTAAAAACATTGACCCTTTGACCTTGACCTTAGAGTTTGACACTTTTTAACACAAAAAATCCAAACGTTTTCTTTTGCCCTAATTTTTAAATTTAACTGATATTTCATATTTCAAATATCAATTCTTTGTGATAAGAGCTTTCTATTGAAACCACTAGTTTTGGCCTTTTGAATTTAGATATTTCCGTATTATCAAGAAAACTTTAACTTTGGCCATAACTTTTGAATTGTTAGGTTTAGGTATTTCAAACTTCACTTATGTAGTCATTGTGAGAAAACCTTTCAATGGATATCAAAACTTTTAACACCTTGACTTTGACCTTGGTTTTTGACCTACTTTTCACAAACAAATCGGAGTTTGTCCTACCTTTAAAAACGCTCACCTTGGTTGAAACCTTTGAACAGGTGATGCAAGGGTTTTCAATGGAAAGGCCTTACTTTAAGTACCAACATATTTGATCTGGATTTGAGAAAGCTTAACCTTCGCTATGTTGCCATACGGCGGCATTAGTGTTTCACAAACACATCTTGTTATTACATGCTGTTGTTTCTTTGGAGGTTTAAAGGCGTAAACCCGGTACACCTTGGTGTATTAAACAATTATTAATTAAACAATTTATCCATAACATGCTTTCATTTTTATCACATGCATACAATAACAAAAATATTTTTGTCAAATTTCTCTAATATGCATTTGATTAAAAAATAGATACTCTTTCATCAAAAAATATGTAGATTATATTTTTACTCCTTTGATAAAAAAGTAAAATAATTTTTTTTTGCTTTCTACAAATCTGATTTTAAACATTTTAAACTTTAAATAAAAAACTGCACATTAAATCTGAAAATATATATTTCTGCAGTGTATCAAAATTGTTAATTTCTAATTTCATCCAAAAACATTTTCGAATCTAACACCACCTAATGGTACTTATATTCCTTTGTTCTTCAAATTGAAATAAAGGTATGTTTATGCTCGTTAGAAAATATTCTATTGCTACATATGCCACGACGCAAAAAAAAGGTTCATTCCTTTTTAAGGTCTATTGAATTTGGATACAGCAGATAAAATTTTATAATATTTTTAGAGCATGCAGGACGTAAAGCAAAAAAATCATATTGTATCGGTTGTGTTTCAAACTTAAGTATGATATAATTTTTTTTCTTGTCCTTTTCTGCAGAAGTTGATCTCAATGGTTCATTTGCATTTCGTGCCAATGTTTTGACATTTGACGACAATGAAAGACTCCTTTTTGATGATTGGACACCAGTGACGTATCAGAACTGGAATTTTAACGATGAGGGTGAGACAGCAGTTGACCTCCTTTTGACTTTTCATAACGACGGCAGGTGGCGCTGGGTGACTGAGAGGAACTACACGTACTATACCGGAGAAGACGGACCAAAACTCCCCTTTATTTTTGAGGATTCTCCGTTTTATTTGGAGCCAGAAGAGTGTTCTGTAACATAATGTTTCATTCTCTTTAAATTCAAATAAACATTTGCAATATATATATATATATATATATATATATATATATATATATATATATATATATATATATATATATATATATATATATATATTTAATTTCATTAAACACAGTGTAAAAAGTTCTTCTCAAGTGTATGTAGTATATACATCTATTCGGAAGAGATCTAGATCCATCCTCATGATTTTGAATAAGCTATAAATAGACAGAATGTACGTTATATTGAGGTGTCTCCTTACCTTTGCAAGGAAACTTACAACTCGGATCTCTTCTCATTATGCGTATAATTTTTTTTTAGAAAAAAACTGACAAAGTGCTTTTTATTATTCTCTATGTACTTGTAATTCAGAATCATGTTAGATATATCTTGTTCTGACGGTCGGTCTGTTTGTCTGTTTGTTTGTTATTTTTTCTGATTTATTTGTAAGTGGATAAATAAATTGACCCTGACTATAACCTTTGATTGGTTTGAGCTTTAAACTTGATATTTCAAAGGTATTTAAAATATGAAAGGACCTTTTCTTGGGCTTAACTATTCTATTTGGCATTTTGACCTTCATTTTGGAATTCGCCACTTATGGAAAATTTTCTTTAATTTAAATCTTGATCATATGAGAGCTCTATGGTTTACATATTTCACTGGTGTATTCCATGTGTAGAAACGTTTTCTTGGGTACAAGTATTTTTGACATTTTGACGATGATCTTTAGGTTTGATTCACTTTTGAAGAAATTTTCAAAAATTTAATCTTAACCATAACTAATAAATGGCTAAATCATGTGATATCATACTCCTCACACTCATTTATTTGTCAAGAACTTCTCTTGAGTACCAGCAGTAATGACCTTTGACCTTTTTGACCTTGAACTTGGATTTTGACCTACTTTTCAATAACTTTAACCTTGGCCGTAGCTCCTGAATGACTAGTGCTAGGGAATTACTATTTTACCGGTTTATTTCTCGTGGTAAGAGCTTCTCTGGAATACCAATATATATTTTTTTCCTTTTACTTGGATCTTAGACTTTGACCTTATTTTGAAAAAAAAACTTTCTCAATGGTTGATTCTGTGACTTTTCTCAAGTGTATTTGGAGCCAGAAGAGTGTTTTGTTACATAATGTTTCATTTTCTTTACATTAAAAGAAACATTTGCTACAATTTTTTTTATTTCAATTTTAATTTCATTAAGCACAGTGTAAAAAGTTCTAAATAATCTAAAAGTGTTTTTCAAGTTAATGTAGTAAATTCGTTTCCTCGGAAGAGATCTAGATTCATCCTCATGATTTAAAATAAACTATGGATAGCTTCTCAATGTCTTCGCAAGGAAGCTTATCAATCGCGATCGGATCGCCTCTCACAATACATATAATTTTTTTTAGCACAAAGTGCTTTTTATTAATTTCTATGAATCCAAGAATCAGGAGCAGATATATCTTCTTCTGACGGTCGGTCCGTCCGTCTGTCTGTCTGTCTTTTTTTTTTTTTTTTTTTGAGTGGATAAATAAATTGATCTTGACTATAACGTTTGAATGGTTTCAGGTATGGATTTCATATTTTAAAGGTGTATAAAATATGAAAAGATTTTTTTCATGGGTTTAAATATTTTCTTTTGATATTTTGACCTTAATTTTGGGATTTGAGCCTAGGTCATATGAGCTATGGCTGTTATATTTTACCGGTGTATTCCATATGTGATAACTTTTTCTTTCGTACTAATATCTTTGACATCTTTACTTTGAACTTGAAGTTTGACTAATTTTTAAAGAAATTTTCATAATTTTAATCTTAGCCATGGCCATTGAACGGTTAAGTCAAGTGATATCATATGTATGGCACGCCAAATTCACAAAAAAAAACTAGGTTTATCGGTTGTAAACTATAGTTTACGGACTGTAAACTATAGTTAACAACGTTAATCTATATTTTACATCTGTAAAACATAGTTAACGCAATAATCTATGTTTCACAAGCGTAAACTATACTTAACACCGAAAACAATCATTTGCGATTGCAAAACATATATAATCTGATAAATACAGTTTCACAATTTATAAACTATAGTTTACAAACCGTTAACTATAGTTAACGATCTGATAAATATAGTTTCACGATTTGTGAAACTATGATTAACAACTCTTAACTATAGTCATAGACCTAAAACGAAGGGACCGCCGACTTATGACGTCATAATCACTATCTTCTTGCGCTTGCAGCGCCCTCACCGGGATGTATAGAAACAGACTTCCTGTAATGAAATCACTGTTGTCGCATCATGATTTTTTGCATTCTTTAAGGAAATAACAACAAATTAGAAAAATCAATCACTTATCTAAGCTTTCCATGACGAAATGATATCGACTGACTACTTCGGAACTTATAACTTTACGCTGTGGAGTCGATGGAAACGTTTTAACTGCAGACATCAGCTGATTGCGACGTGACATCTCTTGAATGTTGTCGATTATATTTTACGGTAGTACATAATTTATATTCTTATTTAATTTACAAAATAAGGAAACAATTTTCTACCAGTATTTTTAAAACAACGACCAATTTCATATCTATGCTGAATTGATATAAACCGATAAAATAATAAATACATCGTGAAGTGTCGTTCAACAATTTAGAGATGTTCCCGTTAATGATCTACATACTTATGTATTTTTAAAAAGTTAGTTATAACTCTTAAAAGATTTATTAATCGTGTTAATTTAGGATTACAGCATTATCAGTGATCAAAAGATTTTCTAAGGGGTATTTTTTATTTTTCCCCACAGGATTTGTACATAGCCTGTCCACTTTTCAACCAAACTCTATGGAAAATGTTTGAGAACATGTACCATGCCATGTACCATCTCACTCTGGTATAATAAGTCAAATGTGAAAGAACAATGGTTGGTTACAAACCTGCACAGGATTAAATCAACAAAAGTGCCAAGTGGTGTGTCCCATGTATGCACGAATGAGTTGCACATAACTGGATTTCAATTATTTAATTATCATGTTTAGAACTCCAATTTTTTCAACTATACTGTGTATATCCAGATTGTGACTCGATGGCGGTGTTTTTCTTTGAAGTTTACTGTTCTGTATTAGCAATACAGGACGGCACTTTTGTGGGCGGAGCTACTTTCCGTTCTGTATTAGCCAACTATTTTGTATCTAAAATACAGCACGGTCTAAAAATATATCTGATTCAATTTAGCAAAAGCACGTACAAATAGTAAAATGCTGATGTTTTCCAATAATAAATTTTAGAGCAATACCCGGTTTTAATCCTGAGAATGTAAAATGTCAATAAACACTTATTCCACACAGAATCTACACGTAATTTAGATCCAAAGGAAAACGAAAATTCACAATAACGGAAAACATAATATACACGTAATTTTGATCCAAACGAAAAGAAAATTCGCAATAACGGAAAACATCCACTATCCTCGTGCAAAATCATTCAAGTCCATCTTCGCGTTTTTATTTTTAAAAATCCTTCTCGCTTACGACAGCCACACGTCGATCTCTTTCAATTCGTTTTTAATGTCGCAATTCAATTAGAAAATAAAAATCTGTGATATCAGAGTCCATCGTCGAATTTTCTGTAAATCCTGATTTTGAAAATCTAGTCAAACCGGGATTTTAAGGTTAGACCCCTGAAAAATATTATAATAAATCTACATTTATAGATCATAACAATAAGGGTTAAATCCTCCACTTTATCCATTAAGAGTGACTATCACTCGATTACGTCTACCCCGTTAAGTTGTCAAAATTAATCTGACCGAATTTTACGTTTTCCGTGAAAATATGTATACTGCGGATGCGAACTCCCCGTCGGGGCCTCATCTACAGAACTCTGGCGGAAGTTTGGATGCTGCAAAGTTATAAAGCATGTAAAGTGGGCGGAGTTATTTTTGATTGATCGTGTCACAAATCATTTAGAGAACTCGACAGGTTCTGTATCGTAGATACAAATTTGGGGGTGGAGACTCGTGCTTGCGCACTTGTCCACCCCCAAATTTGTATCTACGATACAGAACCCGTGTCGTTCTCTAAATAATACTTGTGATTATTATTAACTTTTGTATATCATAACTCAAAGACAACATGCATCAATATAAATATTAAATACACTGTAATTTAATATGACTGTAATGAAATACTGTAGACGTACTTTTTACCGCGTGGGATTAATTTCCGCTATGTACGCGTACACACTTTTTCCGCGAATATTTGTCACAGTGTATTAAAGATTCATTAAGGACTTATAACGACAATCCAAGATATCCGCGTAATTTCATACCCGCGGATTGAATAGAAATTCTGATTCCGCGGAATTATGACCCCGTGGAATAAAGTACTTTTACAGTATTATTAAAATCTTTGTTACATTTTAGACTTTTCCACTTTTTTATTTATTAAAAAGGCTATTCATTAACTTAAAGCAGTGAAAAGCACTGATAATTAACATTAATTATGCATGGTTTAAAATTGAATATGGGAGTTACTTCTTGAAATTTTGTGATTTTACAGTTTAAAAAGTCAGCCATTTCCATAGTGAGTTTGTATAAGTGAGCACTGCTTTAGATGTACATGCATGGCATATTTAATTTTAAAATAATTATTTTCAACGTCATCGATCAAAACTGCAAAGTACAAAATAATAATCGCTGAGCATCATGTTCAATCTTATCAGCAGCCTTGAATAACAAACACTAGTAAGTAAATATTTTATATACATGTATACAAGTTCTACTGCCACTATGATTAAACTGTTTGATCTTTAACCCACTGCCTAAATAGAAGTTTTAATAACTTATTAACTTACTGTAGCTCAAAACACACAGGCACTTGTAAATCTTATTTTTTTTGTTTTGTTGTCTTTTTATGAAATTATACTCCCTATACCTTGTTATTTAGTCGCGGAAAATGTTCTTTTTTATTACACTGTAAAAGAATCATATTTAAATGGGATCAACTTTTCTTTCTTCTTTTTTTTAGCGATGCATATCAAGTTTGTGCGCATAAATATCGAACTA